TAATGGTACATAAATATACATAAAGTTTAATTATGAATTGACAGGTAACGGTATCCTAAAGGTGTTCTGTGAAATGATATATGTTTAGGTCAGACTTCATCAGTCTTTAAAAAAATCAGTTTAAATAAAAAAAAACATATTTTGTATTTATTGTTAATTTTCAAACTTGGCTCTACAGAGTCCTAATAATCCATACTGACAGGTTTAACAGCTTCTGTGTATAAAAGAGGCATTGCTTGATTTAAAATGTACTGCATCATTTAGAGACGTGTCAATAATGTGCTTAATGCCCTCAGGGTGTTTGTGTGTGTGTGTGTGTGTGTGTGTGTGTGTGTGTGTGTGTGTGTGTGTGTGTGTGTGTGTGTGTGTGTGTGTGTGTGTGTGTGTACGCAAGAAAACAGACAAGGTTGAAGCACATCAATACTCCAATGAGTTGAGACCTTCTTTTTCTCTCGGTGTGTGTGTGTGTGTGTGTGTGTGTGTGTGTGTGTGTGTGTGTGTGTGTGTGTGTGTGTAAGCAATCGTTTCACTGTGTGTCTGTCCTGATAAGGCTCCACCTTCATCACCACTTCATATTGCACAACTACCTCTGTCTACGTACACGCACATTCATGCATGCAACCTGCAACGTGCACACGCAAGGAGACACACACTCCTATACTCATCCTTCACAACAAACGCACACACGCGCACACACTCACTCACAAACACACACACACACACACACACACACACATCGCCCTGGTCCAGTGGGCTAAGCTGGAAAAGGGAGAGTAAGGGGTGTTGAGGGGGGCTAAACTAATCCGGCCCACAGAAAGTGGTTTTTGATTATTGCTGACCAGCAAACGCCAGCAGAAAAAAAAAAAGAAGAAGAGCGAGGAGATGAGTAGGGGTGGAAGGGGGGCATCCGGGTGGTAGAGATAGAGTGTTTTATTAACCCAGTGATTTCAGATTTTTTTCTTCTTTTTCATTTCTAATCTGTCAGTGATCTCCTGTTCAGCTGTTTGGGGGAAACTCTTTGTTCCCTTTATCATCACATGTACTTCCATCATTTCCAGGCATATTTTGTGTCCAAAGCAAATTCTCCCTCAAGGGGGKCCAGGAGGGCAGACATGGACCACTGAATCTCAAATCTTCTCTACTCATAACAACACAGCACACCAGTTTCTGCATGTTCCTGGGCTTTTAAACCAGTTTTGTACTGATACAATAATTTGTAAAGAGACCGTTTTTTTTTTCTATTTCTGCTCCTGAAAAAGAGGTCTGCTAGAGGGAAATACAAATGCTCTTTTTCTGGATTTCAAGCAATTATTTTGGTGCTAACCTTTCAAATGTCCCAATCATTCTTATTGTGGTATTGAYTGTACATTCATTAATTCCATCCATCTATTTATTCCTCTGTTCCCATTTTCCTGAAGCTGTAGTCCATAAAATAAGCTTTTCATTCTGTCTTAACCGTCTTTTCAAACCCAAACAATCATCTTTTTCCTCATTAACAACCCCTTATTCTTCCTTTTTTTCCTGCTTCACCTTCTACCTTTCTCTATCTGCTGCTTCCTAGCCACTCTCCTGCACCATGACAGAGGTCATAGACGTGTGCGTGTCAGCCATCAACTCTGCTTCATTGTATTTGTGAGTGTGACGGGAGATAAAGAGTGTATGAAAGGCCTGCATAAATGTGTTTGTGTATATCCACATACGTGTGTGTGTGTGTGTGTGTAGCGATGGAATGAGCTTTGGTGTATTTCAAAGGTGGGGTCAAAGTGTAAGACCTGTAATTTCACCCGCTTCAGAAAGTGCTTTGGAATTGTTTAATGGCATGTGCGCAGACACTTTTTATTTACACTTTTCATATCGCTGCCTCTGCTTGTGTACATACATGCACAGATTTAAGTTTGTGTATGTGTGTGTGTGTGTGTGTGTGTGTGTGTGTGTGTGTG